AAAAGATGTCACCAGAGCAAAGTCTTCTTTTGTGAATGATATCAAATTATTTCTAATGTTAAATGTGATCTTCTGAGTCTCTATTATGTGATTGACCTCCTCAACATGGTTCCCAATAAGCCCCAACAACAACTGGCCACTTACCCAAGATATAGACTCCACATCCAATGTCCATCCAAACATAGTTCCCCTAAACTTTGTAATTTCTTCTGCGCTCAAGTACATTTTAATCGCCTTAACCACTTCTAGCAGATTACAATAGCAGTTAACCCTTAATTTCTTCATCTTAGACAAAATGTCCTTCTCACAGGATCTCCTTATTGCATATGAACAATATATTTCAATAATTAAATAATATTAACAACGATATGATGTTCTACATTCATCATTTCAAGTTAATTAAATGACATTACATTGATCAATTCCTAAATAACACTAAGAAATTGTCAATATTTTAAAAACAGAAATATGTGAACTGTCTTCACTCGTACATACACATGAGTTAATAAACTCCATCACACTTGTTCTCAAGTAAGAAAAACTCAATCGCACTTGTTCTCAAGTAAAAAAACTCAATCGCACTTGTTCTGTGCATAATATTAAACATGCAAATACAACACATTGTAGTATCTAGAATGATGGAGTATATGGGTCTAGGCCCCAGGACCCACATACTCAGGAGAACAGAAGGCACAACTGTCACCCAGTAGGACCCTCATCGGCCAGATGACCCTCATCGGCCGGAACAAATTCAACCCAGAACATGATCCGGAAGCCATAAGAACCGGGTGACCTCGTCGGCCGGGTCTTCGTCGACCATGCCCTCATTGGCCAGACCCTCGTCGGCCATAAAGAACCCCCAGAACCGGATTTTACACTTACTCATTTGTATACTCCATCATTTACTTTGTATTCAGCCCAATAGCGGTCCAGTTGTAAATGGGCCTCCCAAGCCCAAGGCTTGGGAGCCCAGCCCGTATTTTTCCTATAAATACTTCATGTGAGGTAGTTGTAGGGGTTGGAAAATCATTTATTGAAGCATTCACTTGCACTTCATGTGAGGTAGTTGTAGGCTTAAAACATACTCCCTCCGTCCCAGATTTATTTTCGTTTTTGACTGGGCACAGAGGTTAAGAAAAGGCACTTTTGTGCTTTGACTTTCCACTTGTGCCCTTGAGATATTTCGGCCAACAAAGGGATAACTCTCCAAAATAATAGGGTAATAAACAGTACACTAAAAAGGTATCAGGCTTTTTGACTGCAACAAACAGTACATCAAAACGAAAGTAGCGGCGAGCAAAAAAACTAAAGTAGTGGAGGGAATTTTCAATTATTTGTCCACTTCCCTCCCAAAAGAAAAACTACAGATTTCAGTCTATATATACCACCAAATGTTTCTCAAAATAGCTTAAGTACAAAGAAGAAGAGGTAAGGTCAGAGACATGGCCGAAATAGTTCCAAAAAAAAAGAGATTGTCCAATGAAGCAAGGCAACGCATCATGCAGTATCTTCTCATCAACTGCACAAATGGTAGGCTCAACCGAGGAGTACTAACTGCATTTGCAATAGAAAATGATGTGTCACAACGGTGTATCTCACTCATTTGGAAGCAAATAAAGAAATGTGAGATGGAAGGTTTACCTATTAATGTGGACAGACAGATGGCTAGAAAGGTAGGCAGAAAAGCAAAGATTCTACGTATTACTCATGTTAAGGAAATACAGCTTGATAAAAGAAAGAATATCAGGAGTCTAGCTGCAACAATGGGTTTTTCAAAAAGTACAGTGCACAGACTCATACAAAAAGGTGAATTAAAGGCACACACAAATGCTATCAAACCCTTTCTTACTGAGTCAAACATGTTTAAGAGACTTGAATGGGTCATTTCACACATTGTCCCAGAATCAATGTCAACACAACCAGTGTTTCAGCCCATGTTTAACTATGTGCATGTAGATCAAATAGGTACTACCTACTTCCTGGGGAAGAGGAACCTCACAGGAGTTGCAAATCCAAGAGGTTCATCACCAAAGTGATGTTCCTCTGTGCTGTTGCTAGGCCCAGGCTATCAGAAGACTCACAAGTCTTATTTGATGGGAAAATTGGTATTTTTCCCTTCACATCATTTGAGCCAGCAAAAAGAAACATCAAAAATAAAATTGCAGGGACAATTGAAGAGAAGGCAATTGAGAGTGTCACAAAAGATGTTTACAGAGAATGCCTAATCAGTAAAGTTCTGCCTGCCATCAAGGCCAAGTGGCCAATTGATGCATCTGGGGACATATATATACAACAAGATAATGCCAAGCCACATATAAGTCCTAATGACAGTGAGTTCATGAAGGAGGCTACTAGTGGGGGATTTAACATCAAACTATCATGCCAACCACCTAATAGTCCTGATGTGAATGTGCTAGACCTAGGCTTTTTTAGAGCAATTAAGTCCTTACAACAAACAACAACAACTTCAACAGTTTCAGAGTTGGTGGCAGGGGTGAGGAATGCATTTGAGGGCTTCAGCCCTCATACTTTGAAAAAGGTATGGGTATCACTACAACTGTGTATGAATGAAATTTTGAAAGCTAAGGGTGGGAACAACTACAAACTACCCCATATTGGTAAAGACAGATTAGAGGGGATTGGGGAACTACCAATTTCAATGAGTGTAGACACAACAACAATGAAAGAGGTGATACAATCATCGGAGGGTGTTAATGTTCATTAGTAGGTTGCATGCAGATGGTTTTTGGATGAACAGGATACAAGGGTGTTTGTTTAAAAGCAGACAAGGCACTAACGTTTTTGGGTTTTTGGGTTTTTGTATGTACTAGCTACAGACAAACAGTTTTTTGGGTTTTTGTCTTTTTGGGTTTGGGGGTACAAATATAGATAATGTACACAAACAACACTGTCATAAGCTATGATAATATCTTGTCTTATCTTTAGCATATACAAGCAGACTTTCATCATTAAGGCATCACAGACAAGGACTCTCAGACTTCAACACAGCATCACAAAATCCATAGAGGACTGCCTTAAGCCTTCCTAGGACTAGCCTGGATGCTTAAGGCAGTTCTCAGTCTGGCATCAACAAATAGGTCTCTCAGACTTCAACACAGCATCACAGAATCCATAGAGGACTGCCTTAAGCCTTCCTAGGGCTAGCCTGGATGCTTAAGGCAGTTCTGAGTTTGGCATCAACAAATAGGACTCTCAGACTTCAACACAGCATCACAGAATCCATAGAGGACTGCCTTAAGCCTTCCTAGGACTAGCCTGGATGCTTAAGGCAGTTCTCAGTTTGGCATCAACAAATAGGACTCTCAGACTTCAACACAGCATCACAGAATCCATAGAGGACTGCCTTAAGCCTTCCTAGGACTAGCCTGGATGCTTAAGGCAGTTCTCAATTTGACATCAACAAATAGGACTCTCAGACTTCAACACAACATCACAGAATACATAGAGGACTGCCCTAAGCCATAACAGGACACATATATCAACATTTGTGCAACAAAGAGGACTCTCAGAATATAAAAGCAATCACAGAATCCATAGAACACTGCCTTAAGCCTCCATAGGATTATCCTGGTTTCTTAAGGCAGGCATCTCTTAGGCAACAACAACACAGTACACACATAGGCATCCACAAATAGGCCATAACAGGACACATATATCAACATTTGTGTATCAGAAAACATGCATGCATCATGTAATGGACATTACAAGTCCATGCACCTCAGAAGAAGATGAAAAGATTAGTATGTAGGGAGGTACGACCTTCGTTTGTTGTAAAGAGGTAGCCATATTTTAATCAATTCTTCTAGGCGCTGTTGAACTTTTGGGACTGGATGCGGAGGAAGATACGCAGGTGGAAAATACTCCCCTGTCGTTGTATATACATGACGAAGGTAAATGGAGGCCATGCTCTCAATGGAGGTTGGAATCCTATTTTCCATAGTGTCCGACTGCAACCCCTCTGGTAATCCTTCAACTTTTTGCCCAGCATCACTCCAATATCCTTCTTCACTGTCTTCAACCCTCATCAATGTGAGATCATCTTCGGAATCAGGGACAACATCGGGCCAACAAGATAAAGGTTTTTTCCGAAGACGGCAACTAGATAAAGGTTTTTTCCGCCATTAATGGATCTAGAATTTCAAATCTGGTGTCGATGGAGAAGACTTCACAAAGGTTGCACAAATCCGAAGACGGCAACTAGGGTTGCTGAACATAGAGAAGGGAGATGGAGTTAGAGGCGAGAAGATGAAAGTTCAGGCAGAGGAGAGAGAGGAGCGTCTGTAATCACACGAGAAAGAGAGAAAGTTCGAGAAAAGACCAGAGAGGAATACAGTGAGACATGAGAGAGAAGAGCGTAAAAAAGTGGGGATATGTATGGTTGGGTGGGTGGCGGTGGCCGGTTAGATTTATTAGGAGTAATAAATGGGGTAGATGGGTAAGGGTATTAGGGTAAATGAATAGGGTAAAAGTTGCTAAAAATGAAATAAGGAGATAAATTTGGGACAGCCCGAAAAGGAAAGAATGAAGATAATTCCGGGACGGAGGGTGTACATTATTACACCTTTTATCACACATTTTAAACTAGTTTTCGTAAATGTAAACCAGAAATACATACCGGCTTTGTGGTCATGACGTTTCTTCGTTCTGTACTCGTGCAGTTCGTATTGTCCATTGTTGACACCAGTAATGGTGCTTTACTCTCAACGTCAATCTCTTTGTTCTTACTTCTGTACTCTCAGCTCCAATCTCTTTGTTGTTCTTCGATTACGCTGCGAAAGTTTGGGAGATATGGTTTGCGTCGACGACGAATAACTGCTTGCGCATTAGACAAGCGCGTATATTCGGCTACAAGAAATCGTGCAACATCGCGTATTAGTTGAGGGTATAGTTGTCCATTCACAGCGAAAATTGAATTTGGAATTGGTCCCTTTTTGGAATTTATGAAGTCAAATAGTCCCCATTTTGGGAAAATTCCCAAAATTTGTGAACATAAAAAACCGGACCAAATTCTTCATCCCCTGTCAAGCGAGCAAAAAGACTTCAAAGAGACAAGTGAAGTTCTGTTGCGGCAGCTGCGTTCCACTTCTAACCCGCAAATCACCAGACCCGACTCCTGGATCTCTGCCATAGCTCATATCTCCGAGCTTCAGCTGTCATGACCTTCACTTTTGATTGACTCATGGAAATGTCGGCCTCGTTCGCCTCATCAGAGCAGCCTCGAGTGGGAACATCTAATGCGGTACGGTATTTGAACCAGTGTACACAACGATGTTTTTTATTGTTAGCAAAACACTTCTATACTTGTGCACTCAATCGATCGCGCTTTACTTTCTGAAATCATATAAGAACTGTCAATGGTCAAGTCTTTAGTTTCTTTATGTTCAATTTTGTGCCACAAGTACTTGACTTGGTGGTTGGACTAGCATTGACCATAGCTCTTATGTGGTAGAAGAGGGATAATCGTAATTCGCGAGTTCTTTCCAAAGCTCTAATTTGTCAAATTGGGCGATTAACGATCTCTTGCTATTGAAATGTATGTATCGGCCTGCAATTTGGGGATGATGCAAATTTAGCTTTCAATTTACTGGATGAATAAAACATACACAATGATTCATTTTTTTATCAGTGTTGTTTGTGTACACAATGAGCTCACTGCTACTGTAAAACCATTTCATTTTCGTACTATGAGATGATGTAGATATATTTACACTCAAACGTATACTCTTATACTCCATCCTCCCCAAATTTAGATACTAGATTGACTTCACGGGTGTTTGGACAAGATAACAGGTTGTGTTTACTTTTTAAATACGTCCCCATTAAAGATATGGTGAGAAGTGAGTCATTAATGGTGTACCTTTCATAGGGTTAGGACAGTCTTTTACCACAGAAACAGTCAAATATTACCCAAAAAGGAAGCATGAGCTCAATTTTGGGATGTCCCAAAAGGAAAGTGATAACATAATTTAGGGATGGGCCGGATGGCGGGAGTGTATAAAATGGACTGGTTTTGATTTTGGTGCAAATTTTTATTAGTATCAAATTTTATAAGTGACCTTATGGCCCTGTTTGGGTAACGGCGTTTCCAACAAAATGCTGGGTTTTTATGAACTAAAAACGCTGCTTTTAGCAGCGTGTAGGTACCGAACCGCCGAAAAACAAACATGGGTTGTCTCAAGTACTGCTTCTACATCTTTAAGCATCTATCTTTATTTACTTTTACTTCTTATGTTAGTACTTTAGATTGCTTTTAGAGCTCTACTCCGGAAAGATAACGGGTTAGGGAGATGTTCAAAGAATGCCGGAAATACCTGAGTTCCCTTTAACTCTTTAAGGAGATTAAGTTAGGTAGGTCTTAGTGTCTTACACTCTTACTTAATGTCGGTTTTTGACAAATGACAAATCAACAACATTCTCTCACTGCACCATTTCCTACCCATAGCTTAATCGAACATATTATATACAACTTAAAGTAGGAACTGTCTCAGGAGTAAAGATAAATGTTAAGAAACTCCACCATTAAAATTATTTTCTTGTTTCTTGTTCTTTACTTATCGCTTCATTGTTTGTGCTTTTTGTTTGAAAATCAATGGTGCTGTATTCAGGTATTCAAAAGTGGGCCACTATTCATCTCTTCAAAAGGTTAGTAAAAAACTTGAATGTTTTGGATTTAACCCTTTCTCGTATTCTTTCATTTGCCTTACTTGCCTCTTCATCCAAAAGGTTGGCCATGGCATGCGTACATGCTTTTGGAAACACTGTTACTCTTTCTTATTGCATCATTGCCCAGACTGTAAATTTTTAAAATTTATGTTTTGAGAACATGCTAATTCTTTTGTAATTGTTTTATTATGTCTAGTTCCTAAAAAGCTTTTCGAACCAAGAGTTTGGTTGCACCTATTAGTCTTCATATCCCTCAAACTAACATGGTATGTTTGCAGGACTAGGTTGGAAGTCTTGGAAAAAGCGTTGGTTTATTCTTACACGCACATCTTTGGTTTTCTTCAAAAATGACCCTGTTAGTATTTATTCCCGTTATCTGAACTTAGAACTTAGAAGCTAACTAATTACATGTTAATTTGACCGCACATTCTAGTTCTAAGGGTTTTATTTTATACTTTGAACTATCCTCTTACACATTTTGTGTTTATACGCTAACATCAGAATATGTAAGGGTTTGACTAGAAAAAACCAATAACTTGGGAGTAATGCTTGATAAATGTCGTTTGATTAACTTTTTTAGCTTATTAGTTTTTAAAGTTTTTGTTATCTTTCTCATGTCCTTTATCGACGCATCATCCCTCAACCTGGGTGGTGTCAAATATGCAAGGCATGCTATACTTCATAGGCCTCAATGTGGTGATCAGAATGCTAAGGTTGCTAGGTTGTCGCTTGGAAGCAACCCGCCATTCCAATGCCCAGGGATGGTGTCAAGACATGGTGGGGGGTCTTGGCGGTGTTAAGAATAGAAGGTGGGGTGTTAGATTGCGCTTTGGGACACAGAATGTTGGGTCTCTTATGAGAAAATCATCTGAGTTACCCGAGGTTATAAGGAGGATGAATATCATCATTATGTGTGTGTAAGAAACTAAATGGGTTGGATAAAAAGGACATAGGATTAATCCTGGAGGTTTTAAGTTGTAGTATTCGGAGAGAGAAAAGACCAGGAATAGAGTAGGCGTTATTGTGGCACGTGACTATGTTGAGGGTGTGGTGGAAGTCTTTAGGAAGAACGACCCCATCATGAGCATTGAATTGTTGATAGGAGATGAGATGATGTCTGTGGTAAGTGCATACCCTATGCACGACGATTGGGATTGGTCGCATCTATCACTCAATATTTTTGGGAAGATCTTGAGGAAGTGGTGCGATGAGTGTCAAGAGGAGAGAAAATGGTCATAGGAGGCGACCCCAATGGGCACGTGGATTCGAGTCATGATGGTTTTGAGAGTATCCATGTTGAACATGGTTTTGGCATTAGAAATGAGACGAGAACGAACAATTTTGATTTTTCCTCGACATATGAGTTGACTATAATAGACACTTGGTTCAAAAAGAGACTATAATATTGTGACCTATAGATTTAGAATTAATAGTACGGAAATTGACTACTTCTTATTATGGACTACTTGGAGAACTACCTACACTGATTGCAAGGTTATCCCAGAGAGTGTTGTCACTCAACATAGTAGGATGTTTGTGCTTTATTTTCAAGTTAAGAAGCATAAAAGTCGGGTTAAACAACAAGTGGAGTCAAAGATAAAATGATGTAGGCTCGAGGAGGATCTCCAACAAAGTTTTGCACACAAAATGTTGGGTGGGGATGTATGCTGTATCGATAATGCTGTACATGTGGACGATGTTTCATGTTGGTTATCAATGGAGTTGGCCATTTACAAAGTGACAAAGGAGATACTTGAAGAATCTGAAGGATGTCTGCCACAAAAAAAGGACACATCTTGGTGGAATGATGAGGTGAAACAAACTATAAAGAACAAAAGGGAATGTTACAAAAAGTTGGGCCAAAGTTGGAGCAATGACAACATAGATGAGTATAAGGAGACTAAAACAAAAGCAAAAAAAGCCGTAAAGGAAGCAAAAGAAAAAGTGAACCAATAGTTGTATGTAAAGTTAGACTCTATGGAAGGAGAACGATATTTGCAGTCTTGCTCGTCTTTGTGATCATATGACTCAAGATATCACAAAAATTAAGTGTGTGAAAGATGTCAATCAAAGGGTAGCAATGGAGGACGGGGAAATAAAAGAGAAGTGAAGGTCATACTTTAATACCTTGTCATACTTGTCACAGCGGTAAGGCGAGTCGCAGCGCCGGTTGACCGCCATATTGCCCAGGCGATAAATCGCCCGCCTAGGCGACAATTAAGCGACTAATCGCACATTGTATAATATATTAAATATAATTATGTATATAGTTATAAATAACATCTTATTAAATTATTAATGTATTAGTATGCCTAATTTATCAATATACAAGTTATAAAATTCAAAATTAATAAATTCATATACCTAATTTATTAAACAACTAATTTATTAATATACAAGTTATATGGATTGCTAATTATACTGTAGTGTGTATCTATACATACTCTATAATGTATACGAATTACACATGTATAATATTAAAATTAAACTATGTAAAACTACAGTGGGTATACTGCTTGGTGAGTAACTGCATATAAAATATATTAATGTTAATATAATGAAATAAGAAGCCTAATAAAGACTAAATTGATAAGTGAATAACCGATAAATTAAAAAGCTAGAGAAGGTGCGCACGTTGCCTTCAACCTTGAAACGCAGGCACGCAAAAACTACAAGTTGCCTACTCAACTTCAACCTTGCGACCGCGGCACGTAACAGAGAAGTAGCTAGCGACTAGCGATGCTTCACCTTTAGGAGTTGTCGATTGGCCTTTGAGTTTGAGAGTCGACAATTGTCCTTTTGGACTGAGCTTCAAAAGACGGATTTATGGAGATTTCAAATCTCCTCTGGCGTGACGCGAGGACTGCGCCTGGACGACATGCTTACATCTAGACGACGCCAGAGACAACTAATCTTCTTCCGGCAAGTCGGCGATTAGGCGACTCCTTGACAAGTATGTACATTGTTCAACAGGAATAGAGCGCAAGGTATTGATGATCTTACTATACTGTATGGTAAATCATGATTTTGTGAGAAAGATCCAAATCACTTATGTTAAAGAGGCTCCGAGAAAGATAGGCAGAAGAAAGTAGTGGGTCCAGATGGCCTACCGATCTAAGTCCAACCGTCCAGAGAAGTTTGGGAGACAAGCGTTGAGTGGTTAACACGCTTCTTGAACAAGATTTGAAGAAATAACAAAATGCGAACGAATAGGTGGAAGAATACTCTAATTCCCCTTTTTAAGAATAAGGGTGATGTAAAAGAATGTACCAACTTTTGAGGAATTAAGCTTATAGTCACATCATGAAACTTTGGGAGCAAGTGATTGAGCAGGGACTTTGAAGAAGTGTGAATATGCCTGGTCGCTCAACAATCGAGGCCATTCACCTTCTTAGGCAAGTTGTGGAGAAATATAAAGACACTAAAAATGATCTGCATTTGGTGTTCATTGACTTAGAAAAGACATATGATAGGGCATCCCGAAAAGTCCTTTGGGTCTTAACTAGAAAAGGCATATCACGTAAGTATATTAACGTCATCATGGATATGTATGAAGCTTGTATTATAAGTGTTCGTACTAGTTTAAGGAGGACTGCAGAGTTCCCTATTACTATCGTAGTGCATACTATCGTAGTGCACCAAGGATCGACTTAAGTCGTTTCTTATTTGCTATACTCATGGATGAATTTACCAAGTCAATTAAGAAGATATATCATGGTGCATGATTGAGTCAGGGGCCGTTTACTTTTGTTCTCATTAAGTACTGAATGGATTAAGACGTCTGTCTGCATTAAGTTGTCTGTCTGGATTAAGTGTATGGATTAAGTGACTCTGAGATAACAAACTGTTTACTTAGTGAGCTGAATAAGATGTCTGAATCGTATCAAATGACCAAATAACCATCCTGTCTGCAACAAGAGCTGAATGTATATTGATGTTTAAACCACATACACATTTGCCTCAATACATTTGAGCTTAAATTTATTACTAAAAATGTAATTACACCAGTACATTGTTTTGACAAAATATATTTAAAAGCTAAAACAGTTGCTTAAGAAAGATCATTCATTAACATCACCACCACAACCATCAGATATTTCAAGAGTACATCTGCACATAAAACAGGGCAATGAAGAAGTTTTTAGTTCAGAATACAAGTTCATCAAAAGGTCTTAAACCGTTGGTTCTATAATCTTACCCATAACTACTGTTAGAGATTCATATATTCCAATTTCAGTAGTTGTAAACACAATTTCAAACTCAAAGAAGCAAAAGGTACATAAAAGAACAAGGCAATAAACATATGTGCCTATTCTTTTCATGGTTCCAGCAAAGCCACCCCAGCAATTACTTGCATCAACCGTAGATCTATCTACTTCCACATAAATAAAACCATGGACACTAAAAAACTGCAATCACTTGCATTAACTAAAGATAAAATCTGCCTTCAATTGAGAGTGGACTGGGCTTCGAAGAGTATGACATCAACCGGCAAACCGGCAAACCGCCGCGCGCAGAAAGCCAGAAACTAAGCAGTGAAGCAGTCCAAACCGGCAAACCGCCGTGCACCGTCTAAGTGCTGAGCTTAGGTTGGGATTTGGGGTTTTTCCGAAACGGAACGCTGTGTACTATTGCGGCTGCTAGTATGCTGCCGTGTTGTCTCTTCCCCTGCGCGCTGCGGAGTTGGATTTGGGATGTTGAGACTTAGGGCCGTGGTCTAACTGTGGGCTTCGCTGGAAGGATAGGAGAGGGCGGATGAACAAACCTACGGATGAAGAAGTTGGGCTTTGAAGAAGTTAGAGTATCGCCAAAGATCGCAAGATGCTCAGGTCGACGATTTCAGCAAGGTTTGTAGACAGAATGTTGTTGTAAGCGATGAAATATTTGAAAGGAGCTAAGGTTAAAGAAGGCGTTCCTTGAAGGCAGAGGCGTCTGAATCGTAAGGAGTGCGAAAATGAAGCTGAACGAATCAGTCCTAATTTGACTGAGCGAATAAGTCATATCTTTAATTCAGTCCTAAATAAACACAATTATATAACTGATTGATTAAGTCAATGTTTACATTCAGCTCATTAAGTCCAAAGTAAACAGCCCCTCAGAGTAATATGACGACAAATAACGACAAAGTTGGAAGTATGACGACAAATATTGGAGACCAAGTGTTTCAATTTGAGTCAGAGTAAGACTGGATATATGAAGTGCAATTGTGCAAGTTTGGTGGCACTGAGATATTGATCTGTGATATGTTCCGTTACTTGAGCTCCATAATTCAAAAGGGCGTTGAACTACATGGAGATGTATCCCATAGAATCAGGACATGGTGGATGAAATGGAAGAGTTCATCATGATTTCTATGTGATCAAGGTATGGCCACTACACTGAGTGGTAAATTTTATCGGACTTAGTTTATGCCTGCATTACTTTACGACATAGAGTGTTGGACGGTGAAATAATGTCACATTCAAAAGATGAGTACGACATAGATGTGTATGTTGCGTTGAATGTGTGGACCTACCAGAAAAGACCATTTGAGGAATGAGATAATTAGACAAAAAGTGGAAGTAGCACCTATAGACTCTAAGATGCATAAATCTCCATTGTGGCATTTTAGTCATGTGCATAGAAGATTGAGTGATGCACATGTTACATGAGTTGAGGGGCGGGGAGAAGAGCCGGAGAGGAGAGGAGAGGAAGATGAAGACCCAAACAGACGTTGATTAGAGGAATCATAAATGATATGCTTCTTTTTGGGTTGGATGAGAGTATGACTTTGAGAGAGCAAAATGCAGGGCCAATCTTGGGCTGGAGGATTGATTTCTTTTTTCTTCTTTCTCTCTCTTTTCTCTTTATCTTTTTTATCTTCTTTATCTTTCTTTTGTTCTCTATCTTTTTATCTTTTTTCTTTTATATATTCTTTTTATCCTCTTTATCCTATCATTTTTATCTTTATCTTATTTTTTTTTATCTTATCCTTTTTATGTTACCTTATCTGTTTATCTCTTATCTTTCTTTTCTTTTCTCTTTTTATCTTATCCTTTTTATTGTTTTATCTTGTCTTTCTATCTTTATATTCTTTATCTTTATATTATCTTTTTTTTTTTAATTGAGAAAAGTGTCAAATATGCCCTCTTACTATATACAGAAAGCCAATTAAGCCCCATACTTTAACTTTCAGCAATTAAGCCTTCTTACTATGTAATTTTCATCAAATCCAACTTTTGCGGTTAGCAGGTTACCTGCTGACGCAGCGCACACATGCCGACCCATGTCACATTTTTTCCCCTTTTCTTTTCTTTTTCATTCTCTTTCCCCATTCCCTCGGTCTTCTCCCTCCTAGTCTCGGAGATCTTGCAAACCGTCTTCTTCCTTGCAAACCCGGAAAGCTGCAATTCTTCCATGGAAGTTGAAATTCCCAAATCAGCCAACTCCGCGAGCGAGTCAAACCTATGGTTAAAGAACCGGACCAGACCAAGCGCGTCAGCCCGAAACCCGGTGAACTGGCAATTAGTCCAGTTCGATTGTCCCCTAAACTGCTAATAGAGTGAAAAGCTGAAATAACTGGTAAATCGCCCAAACCCGACCCCAGCTCGGAGTGCTCAAACCCGCATAGCCCGACAAAACCAGCCTTTAAGGTTAAATTATGCTGCGGGTGGGATTAGAACTGTGCACCTCATGCTTTGCACAGGAACCACACTACCAACTCATCTACTCCAACCTATTGAAATAGGATGCTTCTTCGAAGTATTTATTCTTTACGTATGATACATAATATGGTTATTATATCCAGCCTGATACGTATAAAATATTCCAAATATAAGTGCAAAACACATTTATACAAGATTTTTAAGTTTTTGTAATTGCTACTACATATTATGTTTATTTTTCAGTTCCTCTAATTTCATATACATTCATGGTTTACTTAAAAATTGTGTACTAGATAATAATAGTATTTTAATTAGGTAGAATTTTTTTAGTTTACAACTTAACCGTACTAGATAAAAATTGTGTACTATATATATATGACTGTCCATATCAGGCCGGCTTGACCGTCTGGCCAAAGCCATTTGGGGCCTTTACCGGTGGAATTTTTTCAATGATTTTTTTGAGCATGTTCTTCATCAATTCTAGTTTATGCTCACCAAATTTTAGCTTAAAATTCAATCGGGAAGTCAGTCAAATGTGGAATCGAAAAACACTGCACTGTTTACATATATAAAGCGCAGTGTTTTTAAATAATTTAATTAACTGCTTTCCTGATTGAATTTTAAGCTTAAATTTGGTGGGGGCATAAACTAGACTTGATGAAGAACATACTCAACCAAGTTTATTAAAATACTCCATCGGGAAGGGCCCCAAGTGGCCTTGGCCGGACAGCGGGTCTTGTCTGGCCGACCTGACAGAATTGCTACTCTCTCTCTCTCTCTCTATATATATATATCTATATATTGTACGGGTTGACCCTTGGCACGGTTATTTGTACGGGTTGCCTCCCGATCTGGTTTTTACAACATAGAGTTAAACCGAACGTCGGCAACAAGCTATTTGAGACCACGTCCGTACACTTCAGTCAGGTGGTTCGCCCTTCGACTGCACGATGGTTCTCCAATTAGGAGCTCATTGAAGAAGTCGTCTGTTTCGGCATCGTGAGTTCGAGACGCAACTCAACACCATTGACTCCGACAGGCTTTGGAGTCAATAAGGTGCCCGAACCTTAAAAAAATTAAAATGACATATTGTGCGGAGTAGCCTTCCACACCCCCGTGGTGAAATGATGAGAGGATTAACATTGTTGTATTCAAGTTTTTGCCCATGTTTCTTATGCCAATAAGGCTGAAGCTTCACTGTTCTCCAAGTAGGAGCTCATTGAAGAAGCCGTCTATTTCGGCATAGTGAGTTCGAGACCTAACTCAACACCATTGACTCCAACAAGCGTTGGAGTCAATAAGGTGCCCGAACCTTACAAAATTTAAAATGACATACTGTGTGGAGTACCCTTCCACAACCCCGTGGCAGAATGATGAGAGGATTAACATTGTTGTATTTGAGTTTTTGCCCATTTTTCTAATACCAATAAGGTGCACGAACCTTACAAAATGTAAAATGACATATTGTGTAGAGTACCCTTCCACAACCCCGTGGCGAAGTTAATCTGACTTTGGGAGGCATAGACTTAAATAATTCTGGAAGGTAATTACTAGTTACTGGCACATCATTTATATTTTAATTAATTTCTAATCCTTATGACCTTACCTCAGTACATCAAATGCAGTGTGGTTGTTAGAGATGATAAAAAACTGCTAACTGTACTCTTCCCTGATGGACGTGATGGTCGGGCATTCACTCTTAAGGTGCTCCTTTGATTACCCAGATACTTAAACAGATGCACACAATATTGGCCTTTGTGCTATTTAAGGATTTTTTATCTTTGCCAAACCCTAAGTATTTTATGTAGGCTGAAACATCAGAAGATTTGTATGAGTGGAAGACTGCTCTTGAGCATGCTCTTGCTCAAGCGCCCAATGCTGCACTTGTGATGGGACACAATGGCATTTTTCAAAGTGAGAATGGCGATTCAGTGGAGGGGTCTTTCCATCATTGTATGTACATTTGTTATCATTATCTATTGATCTTTTTCCCCCTATTTCTTATTAAATCAAATAAAGTTCACATTTTTCCTCTATACCAAAGATCTGCAACTCTACTGGGTCCCTTATTTATGCAGGGAGGGATAAGCGTCATGTTAAGTCTTTGGTTGTTGGACGGCCAATTTTGCTTGCTCTAGAAGACATAGATGGTGGCCCATCCTTCCTTGAAAAGGCACTTAAATTTCTTGAGAATCATGGTAAGCTCACAAATGACCCCTTTGACAAATTATAAGTAAAGGTGAGAATTTGAGTAATTCTCATCTTCTTTACTTTAGTAGAAGGATCCTATGTTTACACACACACATGTTTCCATTTAGAAACAAATTGCCATAAACTACTATACCCTATATGGGTGACCATGATGTCTGCAATTATGTATTTCTATTAGTGTTCAGGTAACCCCACTATCCAAGCAGATAAGACATTTGTATTAAAGCCTTCTATTCTTTTTAACAAAGCTGACTCTAGATGATATTAATTTAATTAAGCTCCCCATGTTTGTTTATTCCTCTATGGCTCTATCTAATAGTGATTTGGATAGTCATGTAGCTGACCCCATCACCCCATTGATGAAAGACTAAGGCTTGGATGTTGTTTTTAGATCACACTTTCTATTCTTATTGCATCATATTGATCTATGATGTGTATCTCTCCAAATGCAGCAGCATGTGTAGTTCCCTGCTAATTTATTGTCGGACCTTTTTGGATTTTTGACAGGAACAAAAGTTGAAGGGATATTGCGACAATCTGCCGATGTAGAGGAAGTAGAGCAGAGGGTAAAAGCCTATGAGCAAGGTCCAAACTTTAAACTCCTTCAGATTTTTTAATAATTCAGAATTTAAGTTATTCGTGTAGTCACCTACCTTTATGGCGTGTTCTCCAAAGCTGAAATTGAGCAAGCCTTTCTGTGTAGGTAAGACTGAATTTGGTTCAGATGAGGATGCCCATGTAATTGGTGACTGTGTGAAGGTATTGGTTGTTACCTTAAATCTTATTATTATCAATTTTGTTATCTGTGTTATTTGAATTAGAGTACTCACTTGCACTACCATTGTTCAGCATGTACTGCGCGAGTTGCCATCATCTCCTGTGCCTGCATCTTGCTGCACTGCATTGTTGGAGGCATACAGTACGTTAATCCTTCACAAAATATGTTTGATTTTCTTTCTTTAGCCACCAAAATACTTTTACGGTTGGTTCATTTTCTTCTCTCTTTTCAAGATATTCAGTGATCTTATCTTACAAGATTGTCTCATTATAAAGCTTTTAGATCTTGATCTTGTAGTTGTACCAAAGTAACTTGCAGACATTGTTGGTAATGCCTAGAAGGTAGGTTGTATGATTTGTGCTGCACACATGCTCTCAAGTTTGCATGCAGTGATGTAGAAACTGGCTGCTGACCCTAGACTAGAATATTCACCTGCAAATTGAAGCATAAGAATTGTTGTATAAGGTAGCGAATAAAGAGTGCACATTTTAATCTTAGAGGAAAGCAATTGTTCTCTTATCTGTCCATTTCTTAAAGTTTGGAAACAAAATTATAGTTAGGATGGATGGGAGATTGTATTTCTTTGGATCACATTATGTTTGAAATTTACTAAATACTCCCCCCTCTGCCCCACTATCTTTGTCCCATATTTTCTTTATTGTTTGCCGCCGGACTAAGATTGTCTCATACCACATTTGTTAATATTTGTGTGGTTCAAATTCATTCATACTTTACAAATTTAATACTACCTCCGCCCCCTAATATTGGGACAGAAGGGAGTGTGGTTTTTAAGAAAAGTAGAATTATATGGTTGATAATGAGTTGATAAAGTGGGAATAAAGTAAGAAACTAAGAATGATTTAGAGCCACACAAATGCTACCAAATATGGTATGGGACAATAATAGAGGGACATCCAAAAATGAAAAAATGGGACAATTATAGGGGGCGGAGGGAGTATCAAACATATAATTTCACTTTTGTAAATATGCTCACATCCCAAAGATAGCGGGACGGGGAAGGTAGTATCACTTCATTGATAATAGATTCAATTATGCATATATATAAAATCTTCTGAGTTAAGAGTATTTGTCTTATGATGGAATATACTTGTGTTCAAATAGTGTCTGGTGTCCGATAGAACACACTCACATGTGTATTTTTGTTTCCTAGATCATAGATTTCTTGATTGGATTCTTTTCATTATAATGAAATGCTGAATCGCACGCAAATGTTTTCCTGAACCTTTCATTCTTCTCTAACTGGAATGTGTTTCCTTGGATGTTCAAAAGAAATTGATAGGAAGGAAGCGCGGTTGAATGCTATTCGCTCTGCAATAGTTGAGACATTTCCTGAACCCAACCGGCGGTTACTACAGAGGTATTATCTTTGTGGGTATAGTGTGTATTTCAAGTACATATAAATCACTCTTTTTAATCTTTCGGAGGGAGTTGTGGGTTGCTTTTGATATGATGCTAAGTAGCCCAGGAAACTCTATGCTAGGTTACCTAAAAGGCTAAACTATATGATGCGTGTCTCTGAAATAAATGGTAATTACTGAATGTGTTTTTTTGCCTTTTTTGCTGACTTTCTTTTAACAAATGATGCCAATGTATTGATTTAAAACCCAATATGTAAGGCAAAGATTGAAAATAAAAATTCCGAAACCACGTATCTGATTACCAAACCCCAAGGTACATGGTCAGACCATGGATGCTGTGTAGCAGGAAGGCATGAATGATTTCTTTGGCTTCTTCTTGGGCTTAACTCTTATGTAGTTGGAGGCTTTAGAACTTTTATCCACGTGTCACATTTTAAGTAGGAAAGCAGATGATGTTAGAGTTTTTTAATTTTGTTTTGCTTATATTGGTAACCTATTGTCTATCTTTTTGTAGAATTGTGAAGATGATGTACACAATTTCTTCACATGCTTCTGAGAATAGGATGAATTCATCCGCTGTAGCTGCATGTATGGCACCATTGCTTTTGCGGCCTCTATTAGCCGGTGAATGTGAGTTGGAGGATGATTTTGATTCCAATGGTGACAACTCGGCACAGATTCTTGCTGCTGCTAATGCTGCTAATAATGCTCAAGCTATCATTACAACACTCTTGGAGGAGTACGAGAATATTTTCGATGTAAGCTGCTCTTTGACCATTTAATTTTGTGATCACAGTATTACTGATGATCTTCTTGTGGATTCCTCAAGCGTAATAGTTATCAAGCTATATTTTATTTCTTTCCTACTTCCTCGCCCACCTTCCTCTCTTTGTGTATTCTAGTTTCTTTCATTGCTTCACTGGTCAATGCCTAATTGAAAATATGATTTGCGTTTTGTTAAATAAAGTTTTTTGGTACTATTTATCATTTTATCTTGACATTTTTGATAATTTTTTGAAAAATAACGACACGTATTATAAGTACTATTCTTTACCACTTGATTTTCAACCTAGCGTGATCAGCTGATCGCCAATATGGCAGTCAATGTTTTCTTTCAAGCTGAGGTTGAATTTGTTGTTCTTTTGCTTTTTTATTTTTTTGTTTTTAAAATATGGGTTTCGTAGAGTGAAGGGTAAATTTTATCTAACAACAATTAGACTTGCATTAATGTGTGACGTAGAGTGTTGATTCAAAAGATGAGTGTGACAGAGATGCGCATGTTGTGTCGGATGTGTGCACATACCAGAAAAGACTGTTTGAAGAATGAGATAATCAGTCATAAGGTGGGAGTATCAATGTATCACCTATAGAAGATAAGATGCAAGAGTCTTGATTGTGGTGGTTTGGTCATGTGCGTAGAAGACCGAGTGATGCACTTGTTAGACGAGTTGAGAGGTGGGGAGAAGAGACAGTGATGGGGGAGAGAGGAAGACCCAAACAGACGTGGATTAGAGGAATCATGAGTGATATGCTTTTTCATGGGTTGGATGAGAGTATGACTTTGGAAAGAGCAAAGTGGAGGGCGAATATTAGTGTGGAGGATTGATCTCTTTTCTCTCTCTTTTTCTTTTATCTTTTTATTTTCTTTATCTTCTTATGTTCTTTTGTTCTTATGCTATTTTTATTGTTTATTTGTCTTATGTTCTTTTATTACATATTTATGTTATCTTTATCTTATCCTTTTTATCTTACCTTATCTTACCATTATATATTTATGTTATCTTTATCTTATCCTTTTTATCTTATCCTTTTTTTCCATCATTTGCAATGGAGCCAAAGATTCATTATTTTTTGGCTTGAGATTATGATGGAATAAAGCAAAATGGCTCACTAAACTGTCTGCGGTTCTTTGTTATGAAGCAGCAGTTAGTCCATGCAATTTTGGATGCGATTTTCACTATGGGTCATCCGGAAACAGTCTCTCTGTGCTTTAGTATAGGGGTAAGACTGCGTACATCCCTTGCGGCACCGGGGTAAATGAAAATGAAATGAAAATGATCTTTCTTTTCTTTATGGCTCTGATATCATGGTTCGATTCACGTTGGCGGACCCCAAAATCTTTTCAGAATAAGGCTTGGTTGTTGTCGTAAAAGATGGGTTTAGTCTTAACTCCAAATCATTAGTAAACTGATCCATAAAAGTTGTTAGTCATCCAAGCCTGGTTATCTAATCTCTTTTACACTTCTGTATCCCATCATTTTGGGGTTTTTTTCTTGCATATTGGTTGGCGTAGTGTGCCTCCATGTATATGACTGTGCAGTCACATATTTTTAGCAACTCCACTATAGCTGTACCGTGACTAACTTTTGCAATGTTAAGAAAATAACTAGTAATCTTGTGCAGCTTAAGTGATTAAATTATATCGCCCTCTCTGATGTACTTGATGTTCAGTTTTTCTTTTTCCTTTTTTCAGGAGGATAATCTACATCGATGCTCTATTTCAGCGGATTCACGCATTGGAAACAGTGGCAGCGAAGATTCGAGTGATGAGGAGAGTTTGGAGGTGAAAGGCATTGGTTATCATGATGCTGAAAATGAGGCCTTGCAAGAATCAGATGATGATCATGATCGTGTACTTGGTGGAAAGCTAAGTGACAGCAGCAGCTCTGCTGCCAGTGATCTTTATGATTACAAGGTTCTCCCCCCCACCCCTACCCCCACACACAGAGGCAAATCTTTCAGTTATATGTCTATCCCCCACACACAGGCAAATCTTTCAGTTATACGGAATGTCTATGCTATAAACAAGTTCCTATGTTGCATACATATATTTTCTATTCAGTTTTGCTCATTATGCACTTATAATTAGATTATGTTAGGTATCTGGCAAAGTCGGCTATAGTGCCAATAATAGATTTGAGTTCAGATAGACAACAACACTTTCTTGCAATAGCCAATAGGAGGCAATAATGTGTTGCCTTGGTAAAAGGTCTTTGGTCTTAAGGGCCTCCATTTTATGCGCACATCTCAATAAGTTAGGGGGTGTTTGGATCTACTTCTTAAAACTGCCTCTGCTCCTTCACGGAGCAGAAGCATATGTTGAAGTGTTTGGGTGAAAATGCAGTACTTCTAAGTCTCCAAATTGCTCTTAGAAGCAGTTTTTGATAAGCTGGGGAAGGCAAGCTTTTGAAAAACTGATTTTGATTCTACTTCTGCTTTTTAAAAAGAAGCAGAAGCAGAATCAATTCCAAACACCCTCTCAATAAAACACATTGACTCCATTTATGGTCTGTGTACTACAGTGGCTGAGTTTTAATAACATATAACGTTGCATGTTGTACAGTTAGAAAAACTTAGAAGTTGAGAAATCAAGTGAATATTTCAAAAGAGTTCAGACAACCAGTCTGATCTCAATTTAGGAATTCACATATCACACAATTAGAAAAACGTAAAGCACTGAAATCAAGCATATTCACAACACGACTACATGAGTGTGGTCAACCATTCTAATTTTAATTTATGAATTCTTTTAGCTATTGTAACTGTAAAACAAGGGTAAGCACAAGAATTTTAGCTCCCTGAAAACATCGTTGTGCATACTACTCAGTTTGTATTTTCTTTTGTTTATGCAGTGTATTAACCATTTGCGTTAAAGGTGCATTTGTTTATTGAGTTCAGGCCTTTGGAGGTGATGATTCAGATTTTGACTCTCCAAGGAACAATCAAGCGGCTGGAATTGAGTTTAAACCAACTGCAGACTCTCAGCCGGCTACAGATTCAAACATTTTATTTAGTGAACAGCTGGGCGGCCTAGACCGACATAAAAGGACATCTGAATGTGGGAGGGCTACTCCTTCTGAATCAACAAATAATGGATCTCAGCGGTCTATGGGTGAAATACTTTCATCTATGGATCAAGGGCTATTTCATCCTTCCTCTGGGAAAAATTCACCCATTGGGAGGTCCTCCAGTAAATTAACTTCCCCCCATCTCAATGTCAAAAGATCATCATTCTGGGGCCGAAACAGTGTGAGTGTTGGTTTCCATGATTTTTTTTTGTTACCACGAGCCTGCATACCATTTTTTTGCTTCAGAAGACATGATTCCGATTTAGTTTGTTTATTGTACTTTTTGTTTCTGTTTATTTTTGTAAGTTTTAATGATAAATCAGATTGAATGAATGCTCTCATAAGAACCATTGCATCATTTGTCAAACTATTATTTTCTGTAGAATGTCTGTTGGATGAAAACTCTTTGTTGTATCTGATGATGAGACTTCTCTACTGCGCAGGCAAGAAAGACTCCATCAGTGGAGTCAGTTGATTCTTCTGGAGAAGAAGAGTATGTTCTCTTTCTATAATATTATCAAATGTTAAAAGCTAGAACAAGCTCGTTTGCTCAATCATTTCAGAGCATTATTAAATCATCTTACTAAATGAGACATTATTTTCTAATGCTTTACTTTTCATCTTTCACTGAATATCTTATTTATGCATAATCTTCTCGGATAATATTCATTGGTATTTCATTTCACTTGTCCTAGTAGCAGACAGTTCATATTCTCTTCTACTGCTGCACTCCGTTCTGTAGGTCTTGTTCATTACTTCTCTTAGTCAAAAAATGATCTGATATGTTTTTTAAGATTTCATATGGTCTGAATATTTTTTGTGTGGTTTGATTTTGTCTTATTATCTCCGGTCTGGTCTGATATGATTGTTTGATTGTTTCAGATCTTGTCTACATTTCTGTCAGAAATATGATATATTGTCTCGTCTGAATCTTTTTGTTCTTGTTTGGTCTGATTTTTTTGTCTGTTTGGGTGTTTCTGGTTTGCTCCGGTTTGATTAAAATGAGAATAGGTAATAAGCAAAAATTAGTTGAAGAGAACACCACCTTAGTCATGCTCCACGATGTGAATGGCGAGTATACAATTTCAATTTTGCAATTGGACGTGATTGTTGCCACTATCTCAACTCATTGTCCTCTCATGATATTATTCATACAAGTGGCTAAAGCACATGGTTTTGAGAATTTTGGGATTTCATTTCATTATTCCTTAGAAGGTTGTGACATGAAGGACTTCTAGCCTTAAGTTTTGCCTAAACTTAGTGTTTAACAATTTTAGACAATTAATTATGTAATTGACGTTACAACAACATCCAAGCCTTAATAAGAGTTTGGGGTCGGCTAACATGAATGGACATGTGACATCGCAGTTGTGATTAAATTGACGTTATGGAGATAAAAATCCCACTCGCCACATCATAGTTGTGATTAAGCCATTAAGATGATGATGATGATGATGATGGACTTTGCTATACCTAGCATTTGTTGGCAGTTAGAACATATTATGACACTTCAATTTAATTTAAATTATGATAATTGAAGTCTACTAGGAAAAAAAGATCAAATCAAATACTTAGCCTGTTCAAAAAAAAGAAGTCTACTAGAAAACTTATGAACTACTACCTAACATCTGTTGGCAGTGAAGAACAGTTTATGACACTGGCTTTATTTACATAAAAAAACTTTGATGTGTACAGTGCACTAGAAGAGTGTTGCTCTATCTACTACCCTTTCTCTCCATATTTCATGTGAAAACTGAAAACCTTTGCTTCATTCATTCATGTGTAAAAAAGCCCGTCTAGCTCAGTGGTCACTCTTTGTTTGATACTCTATGATGGGGAATTTAACAATTTTTTAATAGGCTTGCTATACAGAGACTTGAGACTACTAAAAATGACTTGCGTCATAGAATTGCGAAAGAGGTAACTATATTATTTGGTCATATGGCTAGAGCTGGTTTGTGGGTTTGTGTACATTTCTTATTAAAATTCCACTTTCATCTTCTCTAGGCAAGAGGGAATGCAATTCTGCAGGCTAGTCTTGAGAGAAGAAAACAAGCATTGCATGAACGACGATTGGCACTGGAACAAGATGTATGTTTTCATACAATATATTTTATTCCTTCTTTGTTCCGCATCACATGCTCGGTGTTTATTTTCTAATGTTTAACAAATAGGCTTCACATGAATCTGATGCACATTATGAGAAATAGGTGAGCTTCTTGAGACATACTCCCTCCGTCCCTTATAACTTTGCCAACTTTCCTTTTTTGGATGTCCCACTAACTTTGCCACTTTCCCTTTTAAGTAAAGAATTTGTGGTTCCAGTTAATTCTCTTTCCTCTGCACAAACATCAACCACACAGTTTTTACTTTATTAATCTCCGTGCCAGTCAAACTTGGTAAAGTTTTAAGGAACGAAGGGAGTATTATATAATTTAAAAACCTCTGAGAGTTATCTACCACATACAATGGTTACTTTTGCTGTATCATGAAAATTTGTGTTAGCTTCCTGATGATCTATGAACTTAGTATATCAAGTGGGGCTTAAGATGTTTAATATTGTTAAAACAAATCATAGGAGAACATTAGTCATGCAACCACTAAGTTCGAAACTCTCAATTATGACAGGATATTGGACATGTATCTTCCAGATTGTGGGCTCCAACTATTCCACAATTCTGTTTAAATTCTACTCAATGGTTTCACATATACTTCAGATTTTCCGGCTTTCCGCAATAGTTTCCTTTTAGAGGTTCTGATATCGATACTGATCGAAACTGATTTTGTTCCAAATATTTGGTGATTGGATCCTGGGCTTAAGAGAATAATAATAATACGAATAGTAGAATAATGTTACATAGTGTGTTACTCCCTCCACCTCCCTAATATTGGTACGTGTAGATTATTACAGATTGTTCTAATCACTCACCCGATTGTGCATTTATGAGGAGATATCTTAGAGATCTCAGAATCTATAAATATCCCCAATTATCTTTTCTTTATTAGGGAACCTTAATTAGGAGGATTCCTTCCTTATTTCATTGTTTCTCTAGCTATATATATCATGTATTCTTCTCCTTGTAACATACAGAACATAATAAACAGAATACGGTTTACTTTCTTGAGTTATTTCTACATGGTATCAGAGCGTGGTTATTCTCTAAAATGATCAAGTTTGGATCCTATGGGATGACCACCGAGAGAGATGGATCTATCTCAGTCACCTCTGAACATTCAGAGGGTGTCCCAACTGGAGATGGCAGCAACCAGAGTATCAATGGGAGCACAGTCACCACTCCCAATCAATCAGATTCGATTATTACTTGCCATAAACTCAATGGTAATAATTATCTACAATGGTCTCAGTCAGTTATGATGCATGTGTGTGGAAAAGACAAGGAGGACTATTTGACAGGTGATGCACATGCTCCGGATCAAGGAGATCCAGGCTACAAGAAGTGGAAAAAGGAGAACTATACTGTGATGTTATGGCTCATCAATTCCATGACAACCAGTATAGGGGAACACTTCCTATTATACAAAACATCTCAAGAGATTTGGGAGGCTGTGAAAGAAACATACTCAACTTCAGATAACACTTCTGAATTATTTGAGGTTGAATCAATGTTACATAACCTTCAGCAGGGAGAATTGAGTGTAACTCAATACTTCAACAACCTTGTGAGACTCTGGCAGCATCTTGATGTGTTTGAGACATACAGTTGGTCATGTTCTAAGGATAAGAAGCTATATCAGGAGATCTGTGAAAGGAAGGGAGTCTTCAAAATAATGCTGGAATAATGGGAAAGAAACTCACCCTTAGAGAAGCCTTCTCAGAAGTCAGAAGAGAAGAAAGCAGAAGGAAGGTAATGATGGGTCTAAAATCTGAAGGCCAGCAACAAAACTGTGAAGGATCAGCGCTATATACCTCTTCCAGACAGAATGAAAACAAGAAAAAGGGGAGGCCATGGTGTGATCACTGTAAGAAACCAGGCCATACCAAAGAAAAATGCTGGAATTTGCATGGTAAACCTAAAGATTTCAAACCCATCAAAGGGAGAGGAGCCTATGTAGCTACTGGAGATAAAGAAGACATGAACACTTCAAACTCTGCTGCATTTACCAATGAGCAGATTGAGGTTCTTCAACACCTAATAAGTCAGAGCAAAGAGCCTACACCATCAACTAGCCTTACTGCTCAGACAGGTAATGCCTTAACAACCCTAGTTGCACACAGTCGGCCCTATTGGATTGTTGATTCAGGGGCATAAGATCATATGACTGGAGACGATAAGTTTTTTGTTGAATTGATCCCTATGAAGAATAAGGTAACTCTGAAGATTGCTGATGGAACTACTTTAGCATTAAAAGGGACCGGGAGAGTCAAAATTTCTGTCAAGATAGTGCTTAACAATGTGTTATATGTTCCAGATTTAAAGTTCAACCTCTTATCGGTCAGTAAACTGAACAATGATACACATTGCTTAACTAAATTCTCTTCTCAATTGTGTGAATTTCAGGATTTGGATTCGGGGAGGATGATTGGCAGTGCTAAGCAAAGTGGTGGACTCTATCTTCTAGAACATTCACCACATTCACCAAACTCCACCAACAAGACAACTTCCAGTGAGAGTCAATTGAACCATAAGTTCTTAGGGAGTCTTAGTAGGAGTCAGTTTGATACTCAAATTCAGTTATGGCATTATCGTCTTGGTCATCCTAATGTCTTGTACTTAGAAAAATATTTCCTTCATTATTCATAAATAAAAGTTCTGCCTTTGATTGTGAATTTTGTCAACTTGCTAAACATACTAGAAGTCACTATCCCAGTCTACCTTACAAATCATCTAAACCTTTTTCTCTCATCCACAGTGATGTTTGGGCCCATCCAAGGTCATAAACCTCACTGGTTCAAGGTGGTTTGTTCTGTTTATTGATGATCATACACGCCTAACCTGGGTTTTCCTCATGAAAGAGAAGTCAGAAGTCAATATTATCTTTCAAAGAGTCTATTCTATGATCAAAACTCAGTTTCAAACCAAGATTCAAGTGTTTAAAACTGATAATGCCAAAGAATATTTCTCATCCAACTTAGGAGAGTTTCTGTCCAAAAAGGGAATTACACACATTAGCTCTTGTGTTGACACCCCACAACATAATGGGGGGGGGGGGGGCAGAAAGGAAGATTAGACACTTACTGGAAGTTGCTAGAGCCCTTATGTTCACCACTCACACTCCTAAACACTACTGGGGATAGACTGTCTTAACTGCAGCTTACCTGATAAATAGGATGCGCTCCAAAATTCACCAATTTAAAAGCCCATACCAAATCCTATCTTATCTACATCCTCACATCCCTCTTACCAATCTTCCACCCAAAGTCTTTGGTTGCAAAGCATTTGTTCACAACCATTCTCCACTTAGGTCAAAACTGGATCCCAAATCCTTACTTTGTATATTCATAGGATATGCTGCCAACCAGAAAGGATATAAATGTTATTCTCCTACCACCAAAAAGGTCTACATCACAATGGATGTAACCTTCTTTGAAAATCAGCCTTTCTATTCCAAAACTGAATTTCAGGGGGAGAACCACAATGAAATCCAGTCTTTGAACCCTAATTCACCTATTTCAGACACTATTCCAAACCTCCAAGAATCTGAATCTAACCACACTGAACCCATACTCCCAGACAACTCTGAATCAAGCCCTCCAGACAATACAATCTCTCCATCAACCTCACCATTTCAGCCACCAACCTCATCACCCCAAAATCCTACACTAGATCAAAATTCCCCATTCTACAAGAATACCTATAAGCGGAAACCTAGAACCAGAGTTCCAGAAGAAGAGCACATCACTCCAATTAACACCACCCAATCATCTGACTCAAATTTAAATCTTGATGACAAAGAGGTTAAGGCTATAGAAGGAGATGAGGAGGAACAAGACTTGCCTATTGCTATCAGAAAGGGAGTGAGGGAGTGTACCAAGCATCCTATCTATAATTTTGTTTGTTATAAGAAACTTTCAGCAAACTATCAAGCTTTTATTTCAAAGATTGATAGTATTCAGGTTCCTAACAACATCAAGGAAGCCCTTGAACATCCAGGGTGGTGGAAGTCTGTCCATGATGATCTAGCAGCATTGAAAAAGAATGGAACTTGGGTGCTTACAGATTTGCCAGCAGGGGAACGGTTGGCTGCAAGTGGGTATTTACAGTCAAATATCAGGCTGATGGACAGATTGAAAGGCTGAAGGCAAGGCTGGTTGCGAAGGGGTTCACCCAAGCTTATGGCATTGATTATTCAGAGACCTTTGCACCCGTGGCAAAGTTGAACACCATTAGAGTATTGTTATCACTCGCAGTGAACCTAGACTGACCATTACATCAACTAGATGTTAAGAATGCTTTTCTTAATGGAGATCTGGAAGAGGAAGTATTCATGGATGTACCCACCAGGGTTGGAAGACTTGGTGAAATCTGGCCAGGTTTGTAGACCGAAAAAGTCCTTGTATGGATTAAAGCAGTCTCCTAGAGCATGGTTTGATAGGTTCACAAGATCAGTTATTAAACAAGGGTTCATGCAATGTCAGGCAGACCATACATTATTTGTAAAGAGAGCAAACTCCGGTAAAATGGCTATTCTTATAGTATATGTTGATGATATTATTATGACTGGGGATTATAAGGCTGAATTGGACATATTGAAGGCTCATCTAGCAAGAGAGTTTGAGATCAAGGAGCTTGGTGAGTTAAAGTACTTCCTGGGAATGGAAGTGGCAAGATCTAAGAAAGGCATTTTCATTTCACAAAGGAAATATGTCCTAGACTTGCTGAGTGAAACTGGAATGCTTGGGTGCAAGCCTATGGACACTCCCATGGATATATCAAAGAAGTTAGGCAGTGAGACTGAAAGTCCACCCGTTGATAAGGGTAGATACCAAAGGCTGGTAGGGAAGCTAATCTACCTATCTCACACACGGCCAGACATTTCTTTCTCAGTAAGTGTGGTAAGTCAATTCATGAATGACCCAATTGAGGAACACCTAACTGCAGTCTACAGAATTCTGATGTACCTGAAAATGACTCCTGGAAAAGGATTGTTGTTTCAGAAACAAGGGACAAGGAAGATTGAAGTGTTTACTGATGGTGACTGGGCTGGAAGTCTCTTAGACAGAAGGTCAACTACTGGTTACTATGCTTATGTATGGGGTAACTTAGTCACCTGGAGGAGCAAGAAACAATCGGTGGTTTCGAGAAGTAGTGCAGAGTCTGAGCTCAGGACTTTAGCACAAGGAATCTGTGAAGGATTATGGTTAAGAAGATTGATGAATGAGCTTAAACTTCCATTTGAAAGCTCCATCCATATCTCATGTGACAACCAGTCTACTATCAGTATTGCTAAGAATCCTGTCCATCATGACAGGACCAAACACATTGAGATAGATAGAAGATTCTTATCAGAGAAGATTGCATCAAAGGATATCCAGCTTAGCTATGTTCCAACCAGGCAGCAAATAGCTGATATACTCACCAAGGCACTTCCCAGAATTCAGTTTGAAGACTTATCTAGCAAGCTGTGCATCGATGATATCCATCACCCAGCTTGAGGGGGAGTGTAGATTATTACAGATTGTTCTAATCACTCACCCGATTGTGCATTTATGAGGAGATATCTTAGAGATCTCAGAATCTCTAAATATCCCCAATTATCTTTTCTTTATTAGGGAACCTTAATTAGGAGGATTCCTTCCTTATTTCATTGTTTCTCTAGCTATATGTATCATGTATTCTTCTCCTTGTAACATACAGAACATAATAAACAAAATACAGTTTACTTTCTTGAGTTATTTCTACAGTACAGAAGGGAGTGGTGTGGTTTTTAAGAAAAGTAGAATTATGTGGTTGGTAATGAGTTTATAAAATGGAAATAAAGTAAGAATGAATTAGAGTCACACAAATGTTACCAAATATGGTATGGGACAATAATAAAGGGACATCCAAAAATGAAAAAATGGGACAATTATAGGGGGATGGAGGGAGTATTATGTTAAAGGGGGTCCAAGCCTGGTATTATTTAGTTATGGGCCAGCCCGTACGGAAAATATTATAAATAGGAGATGAGAGTAGAATAAGAGTAAGCAGAACCTGGACTGATATTATTTCTGTTTTCCGCTATTGTACGTTGGTTTACTGTTTGTTGTGAGGATCGGTTTCTGTCATTGGTGTCAGAGCATAACGACTCCTGAGACTGTGGATGACCTTCACCCGCTCGCAGATGGAGAACCAGATGGATAATATGGAACGCTTAGTATATCTGGTGCCCGATGTTATGTTACATTTATTGATGAATGTACACGTTTTATGTGGGTTTTTCTGCTAAAAAATAAGAGTGAGGTGAGTTCCATCATCCCTATCTTTTGAGATGAGTGCCACGTGCTTGGTTTGAACGCTTCACACAGGATGTTCTTGCCGCTGAGTATAGTCAAAGTCAAGGCGATCTTACTCTTTTATACAAACACTCTCGCCCAAGTGGAGTCACTATTCTTTTAGTATATGGGGATGACATCATTGTGATCGGTAGTGATCCGGTTGAGAAAATCGTCTTGAGACTTTGAGATGCAGCTAAAATCTCAATTCGAGATGAAGTCTCTTGGCCCTCTAAAATACTTTGTTGGAATTGAAGTCGTTCCCTCATCTGAAGGCATCTTTATCAGCCAACAAAAGTACATTACAGATTTGCTTAGTGAGACAGGTAAGAGTGCTTGTCGATCATTTAGAACCATTTACCGCACCTATGAATCCTAATCATAAGCTTGGACTTGCTGTTGATGAACCCAAGGTTGATTCAACAACGTATCAACGTCTGTGCAACAAACTTATCTATCCCTCTCATACCAGACCTGACATTGCCTATGCAGTCAGTGCCCTAAGCCAATTTATGCGTGACCCAAGGAAACCGCATCTAGAAGCAGCCTATAGGCTTCTACACAACCTAAAAGGAAGTCCAGGACAAGGAATAGTATCAGGAAGGGTGGGCAGTTATCATTCCAAGCCTTCACTAATGCAGATTATGGTGGCTCTCATTGACCGCCGGTCAACTACTGGTTTCTGTGTTTTCCGGCAGAAAACCTTGTGACATGGAGAAGCAAAAAACAGAATGTTGTGGCACGATCATATGCTGAATCTGAGCTGAGTCCTTGCCCATGGCCCGTGTGAACTTCTATGGATCAGAATTATTCTCTCTGATTAACGAATCACATGGAAGGGACCAATGGAATTGAGGTGTGATAACAAATCAGAAATTAACATAGCTCATAATCCAGTCCAACGTGATCAAACCAAACATATTGAGATTGACAGGCACTTCATCAAAGAAAAGGTTGAAGGTGGTCTGATTGAACTAAGCTACACTCACTCAGAGGATCAAGTCGCAGATGTGTTTACCAAACCTCTTCACAGTGCTAGGTTTCAGAATCTTATTGTCAAGCTAGGCATGAAGGATATCTACAAACCTAGCTTGAGGGGGAGTGTTGATAAAACGAAGAGACATCATTAGTCCTGGATTTACATTCCTTATTATTGCTGTAATTATTGGTCTTTAGTGTTTCAGGTTGTATTTAATACTTGGTGTCCTTTTAGTTTCCATCATTTGAAATGGAGCCAAAGATTCATTATTTTTTGGCTTGAGATTATGATGGAATAAAGCAAAATGGCTCACTAAACTGTATGCCCTTCTTTGTTATGAAGCAGCTTTCAGTCCATGCAATTTTGGACGAGATTTTCACTATGGGTCATCCGGAAACAGTCTCTCTGTGCTTTAGTACAGGGGTAAGACTGCGTACATCCGACCCCCCCTTACCCCACCGTAGGTGGGAGCCTTTGCGGCACTGGGGTAAATGAAAATGATTCAGTCACCTAGGGTACTTAGTGCTTCAGGTTGTAATTAATACTAGGTGTCTTTTTAGTTTGTATTCATTTATGTTTAGTATTCATACAGTCACCTAGGGTACTGAATAGACACCTCCAGGCTTCAGTAGTATATATAGGACTGTACTTCTTGTAAAAGTGAGATCTATCAATAATAATATACAGAAAACTACAGGAACATGGGCAGAAATTATAATAATAATAATAATAATAATAATAGAATTATAGTAAATAATTGTGATTGTGTAATAATAAGAGTTCTGGGCCATGTAAATCTTGAGTTGGGCCGGCCTTTTTGTTTTATTATAAGAATAGGAGGGAGAGAAGTGGGAAGTTAGGCAGAATTTTAGTTGGAATTAGGCTGGGAGAGTGAGGCCTCTCAAAGAGTCTCGATGTGTTCCTTCTCTTTCTTCTATTTCCGCCATTTGTAAGACTGAGATTACCATCATTATACTACAATTTCTGCTTCTTTTACTGTGTTCCTCTCAGCCGCCACACAGGCCATTAACCCGAAACCGGATTTCTATTGGCTAAAAAGCCCAATTGAGCATTTTTTTAAGAGTTCGGGGTTTCGATTGGGTGTTTTTAAGGTACGAGTGCCTAATCGACATTTTGGCTATAGCAATGATAGTTCTCCCTACTTTTTTATTTTCAGCGATATCAATACTGCCTAATTAACATTATTTCTACCAATTCAATATTTTCAACCTTGGTGAACCATGGTTAACATCGTTCTAAATAGCATTAGGTGGACGACAGACTGGTGACTGGTGCCTAGCACATAGGCGAGGTCAGGTAGAGGATAGATGGGATTAAGTGGGATCAACTCGGAAAAGTGTAGGTGGCTAATGGGAGCCCAGCACCTAGGAGGGGATTGTTTTCAGCAGAACCTTGCTGTGTATAATGTTTTTTACATCTCAATTCCAAATCATATCTGGACTATGTTTTGCAACATTTTTATACAATATGCCCGCTGCTTATAATAGGTTGCAAGATTACAAGAACAGCTACAAGCTGAGAGGGACTTGAGGGCTGCTCTGGAAGTTGGATTGAGCATGTCTCCTGGGCAGTTATCAGGTTCTCGCGGTATGGATTCTAAGGTTCGTTGTATATAGTGATTGTGATGTATCTTAGTAAGTATTAACTCACCTCTACTGTATTGCATGTATCAAAGGCATTTTTTGTAAAATCTATTTCTCTTTTATAGACAAGGGCTGAGCTTGAAGAGATAGCACTTGCTGAGGCTGATGTGGCTAGACTAAAGCAGAAAGTTGCCGAGTTACACCATCAACTTAATCAGCAGCGCCAAAATCACTTTGATCCTCTAGCTGATGCTTCTGATCGTTTTCAACATGCCCAAAACGATAGCCCTCAAATGTGAGATAAAATACTAATTGGATATCACTTTCCGTTGGTGTCTGTTTGTAACTAATGATAATGATGATGCCATGATGGTCATCATAATAGTAACAATAATAATAAATAGTTAAGACACTTGACCCCGTCTACATCTAATGGTAAAATAAGTGATATAATAAATAGTTAAGACACTTGACCCCGTCTACATCTAATGGTAAAATAAGTGATCAGTACTTACTTGTAATCATGATGTTATATTCCCTCTGCCCTTCAATAAACCCCATCTTCACTTTTGCATGCATTTTAAGATAGTGGAGTTTGTGTGGTTGAGATTTATTTAGAAAAGAAAGAAAAAAATCAACTGAACATCACTTTCCATAAAAGAAAAGGTGAAGTTTATTTGGGACATCCCAAAAATGACAACCTAAGTTTATCAATGGATAGTGGAAGTATAAATGCATCATTATGTGTAGAATACATTCCACATTTCCTTATTTCCTATATACAGTGATATAATAGATTTGAATGTATGTAGGAGTAGTTCAGATGTTATTCGCTATATAATCACTTACTTTACCCGTAATCTGCAGGAAATACTTTCAGCAAGATTTTGACACAACCCTTGCTTTCTGTAATCATGAAAGGAAACAAAGGACTGAGGTGAGTGTGATAGATTACAACTGAAGAGTAGCCTTGTAATTTATTTGCAGTTCTATCAATGCATATGAAATTGCGGCCGTAATATTTTCATTTTGTTATACTGTGTACCTGGGGCTTCTTATGATTTCTCTTGCTCTTATTTTTTTGTTGAACAATTAGTCATATGAACTATGAAGATAAGTTTCGCATACGTCTTTAACTCTTCAATTTAGTTTCTACAATTCTATATTTCTTTAACTCTTCAATTTAGACTTCTGTTCAATTTAGTTTCCACCCTGATGACGCAAAAAGTCATTTAAATACATTTAAATGTGCATTATTTAAATGTATTTTGAAGCTAAGAGCCTAAGAGCCCATTTGGCAAGGGTGAATACATCCGTAATTGCTGAACTTGTTGAATGATCAGAAAAATTATTAAATGTTTTATAATGTTACATTGCAGAAAATAAAACCTAAAACTAAGGATTGAAGTGTTATTTTTTATCCATTTAGCAACTTCAGCCAAATTAGAGGTCGCCAAATACCCATAAAATCATCCTTGTGTCTTTTTTCTGTTATGTGGCTGTATATATTTCAGAACCCAAAAAATGGGATTTTAATCGAAGACAAGATATTCACAAATTATTAGCAAGTGTCATTTCGGGTTTCGATCTATTTACTTCAATTATAAACTATCCTATTTCGTGGTATATGGTATACAACTATTTAGCATCCTGACCTCTGAGGTTAGACCATCTCACCATCCACATCCTTGTGTCGTCTAAAAACTTAAATATGGAGTCCGACGATATTAAAACAATGTTTAGACCCCGTCAATACTATCTTTTTCTACATTCCTGCACCGTCAATAAAATACACTCAACAAATTTTTATACATATCGGTTTATTAAAACATTAATTACATAACTATAAGTAATGATTTTTTTTTTTTACTTTTTTCAGTTATTTATGGATACACCATGGATTAAAAATTTGTGTTTCGAGTTTTTTATTGCTCCAAATAACTCTAGAAATTAAGATCTTCAGATTTATTTTAACTATATATATGTGATATTGGTGTCATATCAAAGATTATAAAAATTTATGAATTTTGATATATATATTTCTTTAAAAACATTGGAGCAAAAATAAAAAAGTTAAAAGCCTTAAACAAACTTTGGGAGCGAGTGAAAGAGCAAAAACTACTAAGAAGTGTGAAGATTTCTGAGAATCAATTCGGTTTTATGTCTCGTCGCTCAACAATCGAGGTCATTCACCTTCTTTGGCAACTTGTGGAGAAGTATAGGGACACCAATAAGGATCTACATGGTGTTCATTGACTTAGAAAAAGCATATGATATGGTACCTCGAGAAGCTCTTTGATGGACCTTAACTAGAACATGCATATCACACAAGTATATCAACATCATCATGGATATGTATGAGGATTGTACTACAAATGTCCGTACTAGTGTAGGGAGGACCGTAGAGTTTGAGCCCTTTCTTATTTTCCATAGTCATGGATGAACTTACAAAGTCAATTCAAGATGATATACCGTTGTGCATGATGTTTGCCGATGATATTGTATTGATTGATGTGACTTATCAAGTGTTTTGAATTATGACGACAAACATCGGAGAACAAGGTTTCAGACTGACTCAAAGCAACACTTAGTGCATGAGGTGCTAGTTTGGTGGAGGTAGAAGCAGTGGTAATAATAGAATTACTCTAGATGGTAAGGAGATATTGGTCAATGATATGTTCCGTCACTTGGGATCCATAGTTCAGAAGGTGGTAAATTAGATGGAGATGTATCCCATAGAATCAGAACAGAGTGGATGAAATGGAAAAGTGCATCAGGATTTCTATGTGATCCAGGTATGCCGACTAGACTGATGGGTAAATTTTATAGGACAACAATTAGGTCTGCATTACTGGCGTAGAGTGTTGGACAGTGAAACAAAGTCACATTCACAAGATGAGTGTGACAGAGATGCGCATGTTGTGTTGGATGTGTGGACATACTAGAAATGACCACTCAAGGAATTTACGGTGGTTTGTTCATGTGCGTAGAAGATCGAGTGATGCACATGTCAAACGAGTTGAAAGGTGTAAAGAAGGGGCAGCGAAGAGAGAGAGGAAGACACAAACAAACATGGATTAGAGGAGTTAGGAGTGATATATTTCTTCTTGGGTTGGATGAGGGTATGACTTTGGAGAGAGCAAAGTGGAGGGCGGATATTCGTGTGGTGGAGTGATCTCTTATCTTTTTTCCCTTCATCTTCTTTTTCTCTTGTGTTTTTTTTAATCCTTTTATCTATCTATCTATCTATCTATCTATCTATCTATCTATCTATCTATCTATGTATCTATCTATCTATCTATCTATCTATCTATCTATCTATCTATCTATCTATCTATCTATCTATCTATCTATCTATCTATCTATCTATCTATCTATCTATCTATCTATCTATCTATCTATCTATCTATCTATCTATCTATCTATCTATCTATCTATCTATCTATCTATCTATCTATCTATCTATCTATCTATCTATCTATCTATCTATCTATCTATCTATCTATCTATCTATCTATCTATCTATCTATCTATCTATCTATCTATCTATCTATCTATCTATCTATCTATCTATCTATCTATCTATCTATCTATCTATCTATCTATCTATCTATCTATCTATCTATCTATCTATCTATCTATCTATCTATCTATCTATCTATCTATCTATCTATCTATCTATCTATCTATCTATCTATCTATCTATCTATCTATCTATCTATCTATCTATCTATCTATCTATCTATCTATCTATCTATCTATCTATCTATCTATCTATCTATCTATCTATCTATCTATCTATCTATCTATCTATCTATCTATCTATCTATCTATCTATCTATCTATCTATCTATCTATCTATCTATCTATCTATCTATCTATCTATCTATCTATCTATCTATCTATCTATCTATCTATCTATCTATCTATCTATCTATCTATCTATCTATCTATCTATCTATCTATCTATCTATCTATCTATCTATCTATCTATCTATCTATCTATCTATCTATCTATCTATCTATCTATCTATCTATCTATCTATCTATCTATCTATCTATCTATCTATCTATCTATCTATCTATCTATCTATCTATCTATCTATCTATCTATCTATCTATCTATCTATCTATCTATCTATCTATCTATCTATCTATCTATCTATCTATCTATCTATCTATCTATCTATCTATCTATCTATCTATCTATCTATCTATCTATCTATCTATCTATCTATCTATCTATCTATCTATCTATCTATCTATCTATCTATCTATCTATCTATCTATCTATCTATCTATCTATCTATCTATCTATCTATCTATCTATCTATCTATCTATCTATCTATCTATCTATCTATCTATCTATCTATCTATCTATCTATCTATCTATCTATCTATCTATCTATCTATCTATCTATCTATCTATCTATCTATCTATCTATCTATCTATCTATCTATCTATCTATCTATCTATCTATCTATCTATCTATCTATCTATCTATCTATCTATCTATCTATCTATCTATCTATCTATCTATCTATCTATCTATCTATCTATCTATCTATCTATCTATCTATCTATCTATCTATCTATCTATCTATCTATCTATCTATCTATCTATCTATCTATCTATCTATCTATCTATCTATCTATCTATCTATCTATCTATCTATCTATCTATCTATCTATCTATCTATCTATCTATCTATCTATCTATCTATCTATCTATCTATCTATCTATCTATCTATCTATCTATCTATCTATCTATCTATCTATCTATCTATCTATCTATCTATCTATCTATCTATCTATCTATCTATCTATCTATCTATCTATCTATCTATCTATCTATCTATCTATCTATCTATCTATCTATCTATCTATCTATCTATCTATCTATCTATCTATCTATCTATCTATCTATCTATCTATCTATCTATCTATCTATCTATCTATCTATCTATCTATCTATCTATCTATCTATCTATCTATCTATCTATCTATCTATCTATCTATCTATCTATCTATCTATCTATCTATCTATCTATCTATCTATCTATCTATCTATCTATCTATCTATCTATCTATCTATCTATCTATCTATCTATCTATCTATCTATCTATCTATCTATCTATCTATCTATCTATCTATCTATCTATCTATCTATCTATCTATCTATCTATCTATCTATCTATCTATCTATCTATCTATCTATCTATCTATCTATCTATCTATCTATCTATCTATCTATCTATCTATCTATCTATCTATCTATCTATCTATCTATCTATCTATCTATCTATCTATCTATCTATCTATCTATCTATCTATCTATCTATCTATCTATCTATCTATCTATCTATCTATCTATCTATCTATCTATCTATCTATCTATCTATCTATCTATCTATCTATCTATCTATCTATCTATCTATCTATCTATCTATCTATCTATCTATCTATCTATCTATCTATCTATCTATCTATCTATCTATCTATCTATCTATCTATCTATCTATCTATCTATCTATCTATCTATCTATCTATCTATCTATCTATCTATCTATCTATCTATCTATCTATCTATCTATCTATCTATCTATCTATCTATCTATCTATCTATCTATCTATCTATCTATCTATCTATCTATCTATCTATCTATCTATCTATCTATCTATCTATCTATCTATCTATCTATCTATCTATCTATCTATCTATCTATCTATCTATCTATCTATCTATCTATCTATCTATCTATCTATCTATCTATCTATCTATCTATCTATCTATCTATCTATCTATCTATCTATCTATCTATCTATCTATCTATCTATCTATCTATCTATCTATCTATCTATCTATCTATCTATCTATCTATCTATCTATCTATCTATCTATCTATCTATCTATCTATCTATCTATCTATCTATCTATCTATCTATCTATCTATCTATCTATCTATCTATCTATCTATCTATCTATCTATCTATCTATCTATCTATCTATCTATCTATCTATCTATCTATCTATCTATCTATCTATCTATCTATCTATCTATCTATCTATCTATCTATCTATCTATCTATCTATCTATCTATCTATCTATCTATCTATCTATCTATCTATCTATCTATCTATCTATCTATCTATCTATCTATCTATCTATCTATCTATCTATCTATCTATCTATCTATCTATCTATCTATCTATCTATCTATCTATCTATCTATCTATCTATCTATCTATCTATCTATCTATCTATCTATCTATCTATCTATCTATCTATCTATCTATCTATCTATCTATCTATCTATCTATCTATCTATCTATCTATCTATCTATCTATCTATCTATCTATCTATCTATCTATCTATCTATCTATCTATCTATCTATCTATCTATCTATCTATCTATCTATCTATCTATCTATCTATCTATCTATCTATCTATCTATCTATCTATCTATCTATCTATCTATCTATCTATCTATCTATCTATCTATCTATCTATCTATCTATCTATCTATCTATCTATCTATCTATCTATCTATCTATCTATCTATCTATCTATCTATCTATCTATCTATCTATCTATCTATCTATCTATCTATCTATCTATCTATCTATCTATCTATCTATCTATCTATCTATCTATCTATCTATCTATCTATCTATCTATCTATCTATCTATCTATGCTTTTATTCTATCTTTTTATGTATATTTTATTAATGTTGTAAAAACCGGACCTTGGAGCGACCTGGCTGAATGACTGGGTCACGCGTCAATCGGGACCCGGTGGGTCAACCCAGTCAACGCCGGAAAACCCGGTCAACATATAAATCAAATTATTATTTACAATGTATAAGTTTTAACAAAATATGAAATGTATTTTAAATGAAATGGACAATGAATACATATGGTGCTATTTAAAAAATATTTAATATAATATAAATGCTTTCACTTATTATAATAGTGATAGTAAGTAGTGTTTATTAATGATGTTATATTTTTATTATTATGATTATTCATTATCTACCAAGTAGTAGAGCTGTAGAGGTTGTAATGTATTGATTGAAACAAAATACTACCTCCGTCCCTTAAAACTTTGCCAAAGTTGACCGCCACGGAGAATAATAAAGTAAAAACTGTGTGGTTGAGGTTTGTGAAGAGGAGAGAAATAACAGAAACCACAAAATAATTGATTAAAAGGGAAAGTGACAAAGCTTTTTGGGACGACCCAAAAAGGAAAGATGTCAAAGTTTTAAGGGACAGAGGGAGTATATAATAGATGCAATTAATGAACCTAATGTAACAACTTCCAATGCAGCTCGTTGGTTTGGTGGCCGTATACTCAAGTCGTAGAGCAGGGTTCGATTCCCCCTCTTGACTAATCTTGCAAAGAATTCCGGGTTTTACCCAATTCCCGGGTTTGAGTCACGGTCAGTTCCGGCGGGTCAAGCGGGGGTAATTGGGGATTTTGGCACATTAACGCGTTGATGGGCTACCTGACCGGATTGGGCTCTGGGTGACCGGGTTTCGGGTCGACCTGCCCGGTTCGGTCCAGTTCTTCATAGTACTTTATCTCTTTTTATATTATCTTTTTTTATCATAGCTTATTTTTTTTATCTTTCTTTGCCTTTTGGTTCCAATATCATGTATCGATTCATGTTAGTCGACCCCAAAATCTTTTGGGACTATGGCTTGGTTGTTGTTGTTGGATGATGTCAGCGTGATGTCATCCGCTCCACCAGATTACCGCAGCCTTCCCTTTTGTTTTTCCTTTTTATTTTCTCCCTTTCAATCCCCCCTCCAAATTTAATTCCCTCCACCCCTTTCCTACTTTTAACCCCTTTTTTAATCCCCCATTAAATACAATTAGGAGTCCAAAACCTCCAAACTTAGCATTTTGGACTCACAATACCTCTCCAATACAAATGGTCTTATGATGCAGGAACAATTTGGTTCGGAACTGAGGAACATCAAAGGACAAGCTCTGACACCTGGCAACACTAGCAGGCAGGCAGCTAACAAACATTCATTGGAGTCCACGAGCTTGAGTGATTCTAAGAGTGCTGAAGCATCAACCAGTTTATCCGTGGATGAATTCGGTGTTGTTGTCGACTCCGTCTCTCTGCCAAGGGTCACTGAGGTAATAATTAAAATAAAACGGAAGAAAAAACACTATCAAGCTCCGAAAACATTCTAGACTATTCTATTCAATCCTATTTTTATTTTATCTTATGTTGAGCCTTGTATTTTGCACTTGGGCTTTCCCTTTCACTTTTCACTTTATTAAGATGCTGTACTGCTTTAATTATTTTGTCATTAGTACTCCCTCCGTCCTATAAAGTTATAAAGATAAGCCATGCTTGACTCTTTTGGTCATCTATGTTCAGATTTGGCTCATGTTTTTAATTGACACTTTATATTTTAGTGGCAATTCTAGTATTTTAATATCATCTGGAAATGGTCTCTTTGTGTTTTGGTAGAAGGGTAAGACTGTGTACATCCAACCCCCTTACCCCACCAAAGGTGGGAGCCTTTGCGGCACCGGTGTAATGATAATGATGATGATTAGTTCCACGTTATAAGTCATTTTGAAAAAAGTGTATCATTGGTCAAAGTTCAACATCTTTACCCAAAATCAAACATGACCTATCATTGGTCAAAGTTCTACAACTTTACCCTATTTCCTTTTTTCCTAGTGATTTTATACTTTTCTTTTTAGTTATCCTAGTCAGTGCATCCAACTTGCCCTAGACTGCACTAACGTCGGGTTCATTTCAACTTTATTCTGTGAACAATTTCTTTCATGTGATCACAGGCTGAATAAACAAAATAGAAGAATATGGGTTTAATAGTGTTCAACAATAAACTATTACTGTACTTTCCTGGATATGACTTACTGACGTGATAGGAGACATACCTAACTACCATATGAAACCATGAAATTCCTTCCATTTGAAATAACAGTCATGTTTCAAACTCTCAAAACGTTTTTGTACCAAAAACTTATTCAGTTTTAAAAGATTTATTTTTAAGTACATTTCTTGTATAGCCATGTGGCAAGCAAGTTCAGTCAACTACTCTGAACAATCTTTATATTAACTTTTAGGGGTACCTTGGTTGAGTTAACTAAATTTAAAAAGATGTACTTAACTCGAGCATGACTTATTTTTCCAAAGAGGGAGTACTAAGACTACCAGTACTAAATATCTGTACTTCAAAAAATATTACACAACAACAACATCCAAGCCTTAGTCCCAAAAGGTTTTGGGCCGGCTAACATGAATCGATCCATGATATCAGAGCAAAGTGATATTCATATTTCGGTTCATATCATGTGATGTGTCTAAGTGATACTATTGGCCGTCTCACGCTTGCCATAGCACCTTCCGCCTTTATCCTGGATTGGGACATGCATGATACCAAAATGATCTCATTGCGGATACGATTTATCTGCTTGTCCTTCTGGCCAACCGCTCTGCTCGGTTCATTGGAGTCATCAGATTAGTATGGTCTTCACAACTGAAGGGTTATGTTTGGTTTGGAGGGGAGGGACAGGGTGCTGCCCTCTGGTTTTGGTGCACAAAAATAAGAGAAGGGTAAGATAATAAATGTATTGCCCCCCATAATATTTTAACGAAATGAGGAGTGCAGATGATTCCCTCCCTTCCCCTCAAACCAAACACAGCCTAAGCATGGGAGTACCTCTTAAGCTGATCCAAGGGTCGTCCTGGGCTAAATAGAGGATCCATATTTAAATAAACCAAGGCACTGTTCTTTGTGCACCATAGCATTGTTTTTACTGTAGTACTAACTGCAGAAATGGGGGGGGGGGGGGGGGGGGGGGGCTTTGAACCAGGGATTGGGTTATGGTCAGCATCCTCCTCCAGTAATTGCATCTTCAACCTTGGTGGAGTTGACCACACGATTGGATTTCTTCAAAGAAAGACGTTCTCAGCTGATGGAGCAGTTGCACAACCTTGACCTAAATTACGGGTCAGCTCCACAAGATTTCATGTACAAACCACCATCTTCATCTCCACCGTGGAACTGATCAACGGACCAAAGGCAGGGAGGATACTTGACAGCATGAGCAAAATGTTACGGGATCTTACCATTTGTACATTCTTTTTTAATTACTACTGCTGCAAATGCATATTCTGATATTCCCACGATGTATTTTTTTGGGATGCCATTTTTTTCTTTCTAACTGTTCTCTGAAATAGAGTGCTCGGTTTGTTCATCAATATTATGAGTTCTGTGCACTCTATTGCTGTTGTAAGCATCATCTTGGCTATTGTGTAATATATGGTTATAGGGAGAGGTTGAATAGAGTTGTGTTTTGTTCTTTTGTTGCCATTATTTCTTTTTGGCGTTGAAGATCCTGCATTTTTTTCCTTCTCTTTGCCCCCCTTCCCCCTCATAGTGTGTATCAAGAAGTTGAGAACATGAATGTGGAGTACATCAAATGCCTCACGAACATGAATGTGGAGTACATCTGATAGGACTACCCCCACAGGAAGTGAGAACTGACACAGTTTGTACAGTGTCAATATGGAAAAGCACACTAGCTGCCTTACGTAGAAACCAAGTACTGAGCAATTGGATCATAAGAGCTAGTAGTACACACTGATGTATGTAGACTAGTCAAACAGGCTTCCATTGGTGCCTTGGTAGTATCAAGTATACACCCCCTGAATTTGGTAACAGTTTTGCACTTGCGGATACCAAGAAATAGAATCTTTGGTAGATGGACTTGAAAAATTAGGGATGGATTCGGTTTGGGCCAGCCGGCCCGTGACCCGGCCCGGCCCGGCCCGCTACTGTGTGGCCCGGGACTGGCCCGGTCTGGCGGTCCGGGATCGGGTGTAGACCCGAACCAGTGGGGGAAGCGGGGGCGGGCTCAGTTCCTGCAAAAGGTGACCGCCGGGTTGGGCCTGGGTCCGGGTCACAACGTTTTTTTTTTAAAAATGGCAATATTTAACGAGTCAGTGATATATTTTATGCATTATTTAATGAGTTTCATACACATTATGGCAATGCGCCCCCTCCCTCGATACAAACATCATCATCTAAAGGAAAATTAATTTTCAAATCTACATTTGCCAATCTTATTAAAAAAATGAAATCAACTCCCGCTGCGCAACAAAGCACAATTAATGAGATTTCTTTGTATTTAACATATCACATATGATGTTGATTTTGAAGAAGATGATTTTGACGTACTAAACTGGTGGAAGGGAAAAGAAAGTGCTCAAGAAGGCGGTCTGTAGAACTCAAGAAATTGACATCATCTCATCTGAACACTTTATGGATGAATTTACAATCGAGGGTGACTCTACCTATGTCGGAGATTCCGATTGATTAGTATTTCATGTTTTAATTTTACCTTCAATTGTCAATTGTAACTTGTAAACTTGTAGTTCATATTTTAAATAAATATATGTTCTTTTTTTTATATGTAGCATTTTTTACTGAATTCATAAAATTAATTTTACATTATGTAATATATTGAAACTAAAATAAACAAAAAAAATTGAAATCAAAAGCCCCAAACGGCTATATAGCCGTTGGACACTTTGGTTGTTTGAAATTTGAATCAATAGAGCCGTTGGGGTGGGGGGAAGGGTACAAAAAATTCTATAAATACTCTTATTTTCTAACATTTTTATACACATCTTCTCCAACATCCAATCTCTGATCTTCATTCTCCATCTTCATCTCCATCTATTGTAGAATTATTATATCTACCATTTTTAAGATGGAAAGTCAATATGCCGTTATACGGTATAATTTTGATAAGCAGAAGGAGTCGAGGACCGGGATGTGGTACGCAACTTGCAAATGGTGCGGGAAAAAGTGTAGCATGAGAGTTTCACGCGGATACGGGATGACAATGAAGCATATTAAGTCATGTGACAAAGCTAAAGGACCGGGAGGTGCGGGAAGTTCCGATTGATTACAATTTACAAAATGTATTTCATATTGTATGTTTTTCTTAATTGTTAAATGTAGTTCCTATTTCATTTCAAATAAATGCACTTGGAGTTTGTTTTTAATACTTGTATAAAACTATAAAGTATAAATTATAAAAAAAAAATTGGATTTAACCGGCCCGGCCCAGCGGGTGGCCCGACCCATGACCCGGGCGGGTGGCTCGGCCCGAACCAGACCTAGGGGTGGACTCAAGTGTTAAAATTAAAACAAAATTCAAGAGACAAACATTTTGTAAATTGTAATCAATCGGAACTTCCCGCACCTCCCGATCCTTTGACTTTGTCACATGACTTCATATGCTTCATTGCCATCCCGTATCCGCCTGAAACCCCCATGCTACATTTTTTCCCGCACCATTTACAAGTTGTGTACCACATCCCGGTCTTCGGGTCCTTTTGCTTATCAAAATTATACCGTATAACGGCATCTTGATTTTCCATCTTAAGTATAAAGTACATATATAAATAATAAATTAGTAGAGAATAGAGATTAGAGAGTAGGAATATTTGGAGAAGATGTGTAGTAAATTGTATAGAAAAAATGGAGTATTTATAGTTTTTTTATACCCCTACCCCTCCACCCCCACCCTAACCCACCCCGGGACCCCAGGAAGGCTCCCAACGGCTATATAGCCGTTTGGGTTCAATCACAACGGCTCTAAGGGCCTGTTTGGTAGTCAAAAGATTTTTTTTTTTAAATTATAGCCGTTGGCCCGAACCGGCCGGGCCGGGCCTTCCTTTTTGTGAACCGTGCCCGGACCGCAAGCCTCCCTCGGGTCGGGTAAAAGCCCGCACCGCCATTCCGTAACCGGGCCGGGCCGGGCCCGCACCGTGGCGGGCCGGGCCGGTTCAGGGCCGGGCCGACCCGGTTTGGTCCATCCCTAGGCCCGGGTGGGCTACAGAACTAAGGAGATCAGGCCCGAATGCCCGATACGGGCCCAGTTTTGTTACTTTTGTTTTTTCAATTAATTCCAACCCCCAAACCCCCCTAAACCGCCCAGCCCCACCCACCTAGTTATGATAATAATAAGATTGGAATAATTGCTCACCCTATTAGGGTGTCCTAATGGTCTATATATAATAAGTAGAGAATATCAAAATTACAACAATGTCTCAATACTAGAGGTGGACTCGGACCGAGTGGCTCGACCCGGAACCAGCCCGGGACCGGTACTGTTCCGGCCCGGCCCGAACTGGTGGCCCGGCCAAGGAACGGTCCGGGTAGGCCCAGCCCGGTGGTTTTACGGTGTGGGTTCGGGTCCCCCAAATTATGAACCGTCCCGGTTCCGGGCCTTTTTTTTGTTTTTTCAATTTTTTTTATTTTTCTGGGTTGGGCTGGGTGTTTTGGGTGATTTGGGGGTGGGGGGTGGGGGGGGGGATTAGGGGATTAATTAGAAAATTAAAAAAAAGGAAGTGGCCTGAGGCCTGGCCCGGCCCGACCCGGACCCGCTGGCCACCCGGGCCGGTTCCGGTTCACATATTTTCAAATAAAAGCCCGACCGGACCCAGGCCTGAACCGGAACTGGCCAGGCCCTAGTCCACCTCTACTCAATACTATAGATTATTACACCCCCTCAATCTGAGCAGGGGAAACCACGAACAGATTGGAACGTAAAAACTCAAAGCGTTGACTAGATTAATTTTTAGTAAAAATGTTAGCCAATTGTAACTGAGTAGGAACATATTTGACCACCAGATCTCCATGAGCAACGCGATCTCTGACAAAATAATAATCAATCTTGATGTGTTTACTGCGATCATGCTGAATAGGATTCACAGCTAGATAGGACGCGGACACATTATCACAGTGAAGCTGGACAAGTGCGAAGAAGTGAGCGAATGAAAATAGTATCCTGGACTGTGTAGGCTATGGTACGATACTCGGCTTCAGTGGAAGATTTGGAAACAGTGGGTTGCTTTTTAGAGCGCCATGAGACAAGATTAGGACCCAGAAAAATTGCATACCCAGTAGTAGAGCGACTGCTATCTGGACAGCCTGCCCAATCAGCATCATAATAGGCCACAATGAAAGAAATATCACGATTGGCCTGAAGCCACAAGTCATAATCTGTAGTACCCTGCAAGTATCTGTAAATACGCTTCACAACCAAAAGGTGAGTAGTACGTGGTGCATGCATAAACTGAGAGTCCAAATGTACAACATAAGTACGGTACTTGGTAACATCAATGAGAAATTCGCCATCTGTGAGAGATAGAGTGGTGCGCGAGAGAAGTGGGGTACGAAACAGGCTTGACATTATGTAGGTGAAATCGGCGTAATAAATCAGAAATATATTTTTGCTGAGATAGAAAACAGACCCTTAGAAATACGCCGAGCCTGAAGTCCCAAGAAAAAATGAATATCACCTAAGTCCTTCATGGCAAATTGAGTAGAGAGAGAATGAATTATAGTCAGAACAAGAGATAATGATGAGCCAGTGATTAAAATATCATCCACATACATCAGGATGTAAACAACCTGAGACTGCTGATGAAGAACAAACATGGAAGAGTCAGACTTACTTTGAGAGAAACCACGAGATAAAAGAAAATCGCTAAACCTGTGAAACCAAGCTCGAGGAGTTTGTTTAAGACCATATAACGCCTTTTTGAGTCGGCACACATGATTAGGGAAGGAAGGATGGACAAAGCATTGAGTCTGACGCATATACACTTCTTCTGTAAGGTTACCATGAAGGAACACATTTTTAACATCTAACTGACGAATACACCAACCAAGAGAGACAACAATAGATAGCACAAGACACACAGTGGTTGGTTTGACTACAGGACTAAAAGTTTCTGTAAAATTGACACCAACCTGTTGCTTAAACCCTTGAGCAACTAAATGCGCCCTGTGACGCTCAACGGACCCATCAGAATTATATTTTGTCTTGTAAGCTCACTTACAACTGACCACATTTTTTATGTCATCCCAAGGTACCAAATCCCAAGTCTGATTAGAAACTAGCTCATTAAATTCATCAGCCATGGTCCATGGCAGCCCGCCAAATAAAATGTTTTTGAGCTTAAGAAAAACACGTAGGATCAGTCGGGTGAAAAAGCGCTTAGATTAAAAATTTGTCAGGGCTTATAAATACCATCCTTGACTCTAGTTTGCATGGGGTGATGGTTAACTAGAGGTAGGGAATGTTCCATGGAGGAGGAACTGGAACGGGGTGGCGAACTAGCTACTGGACTCGGAGTGGGACTGGGCAGAGGGCTGGGTATAGGGCTGCATGTGGGGCTGGGTGTCGGGTTGACTGGTTTGGATGGTGTTGGGGCTTATTGGTTCGGTGGGTGTGGAGCTGTCCGTATGTGATGATGTGGGGCTGGAGTAGTGGGAAAGGTGGGTCAAGATGGGGATGGTAACAGAAGATGGTA